ATACAATGACTTTATTACTAGCTGCTCCTCCACCATTTCCCTCTAATGCATTGATTTATTTTAGGAAAAGTATCTTAATTATGCTTTTCATGTATTCTCTGTTTGCAGCATCTCTGGAGCCTGGAGAGATTAGCTGAAAGCCACAAATGGCTCCATTTGGTAAAGCATATGTCTTACTGTTTTTACAAAATCTTCAGCAATTTCACTGGTGAAAAACTATTCCAATTTTCTTCTATCTGCATTGGAAAACTTCCTTTTATATTTTTTATTCCCTATTTACTTTTGCATCACCTTCTTAAGAAGGACATTTACACAATAAGTATGTCTATTTCCACCCACGTTTGCAGTTTTTTCTTCTAATAGGCTTTCTGGAACACACATGACTTACAGATCTTGGCAAATTCAAAGTCAAGTAGGTCATATGTATTAACACAATAATTGAATAAGCTATTGAAACAGAACTGACAGTGACAGCAGCACCACCCTGAATGTACTTAGGCTCATTTCCTCTCAGAACAGGATCATGGTGGCCTAGGGACTATTTGCATGGGAGAAACAGGAAAAGCATTGCTCATGTCTTCTTCAAGATACACTAATTTAAATCAAAGCTCCCAGAAAGAGACTGCTGTCCAGGATTAAATGGCCAGAGCAAATAAAGGAAGGAGAGTTCAGAGAGCCAATTGAGTATGTGACACGAGAGATAAGGAGTAAAAAAATGCAGCCTTGGAAGACAAAAGGAAAATGAGGACAAACCTAAAAGAGGGATGCTTTTGGAAGCCCTTGTCAAGAAACTCCAGTGGACTCTCATAGGAACATTTGAAAACTGCCCTGTTCTGACTTTTTTCTAGTCCCCTACCTAGAACTTGTAATGCTAATTACTCTTGCCTTTACTTTTCCTTCACATCCCCTATTCACAACTCAAGGGCTTTCTTTTCCCCCTCGAGATAAGAGTTGTGAAATTTGGGAGTCTTTTAGACAGACCCACTGAAGGGGTACCCCAATTGCCTCACCCTGCGTCCCTGTTCATCATGGAAGAAGCCAGAGCGGCCTGCGTTCAGATTCCCTATTGGCAATTTGGATAACCCCTTCAGAGGATGGTGTGATAAGAATAGGAGGTAGGAATTGGCTAAGCATTTACAGTAAAAAGACCCCGAAGAAAAGTAGCCAGTTTCTTGGCTAAAACTCACAATGTCCTTGGGCCTCTTAGCAAGCTACTTCATTACAAAGGCCGAAATTGTCGAAAATATTTGGGAGCTTTTATCTAATCCCTAAAAGATTTTAGGGTTACCACTTCAGAAGGGGGGATGTTAGAGTAGTCAAAAGCCCCATAAAGAAAAATAAATCAAAGAATAAGAAATAGTACATGAAGTTATCAGAAAAAAATGATGGGGAGATATGGGAGGGAGATGGAGGGGAGGGAGTAGGCATGGATTTGATCAAAGCA